ATCACCATCCTCATTTTTATAAATGATACGGACAAACAGATGCAGATGAGCTCCATGACAAGCCCACTACTCGTCAAAGGAACCCACCATCTATTATCTCCTAAATCAATAAAACACAGACATACAAGCAGATAGAGGCACACAGCCGTGTTGACGACGGGGGCCAAATATGTATATCTGATTTTGAACTTAGTCATTAGTGGCCTCGACTCTGTCAATTAGCTCAAGTCAGTCAGATCGTCATTCTAGCTAAGAACCAAATGAGTTGAAAGGTTTCTCATCAATCAATTCAGATTGACATCTGTCTGAACAAATCATCATTAATGAAATTAATATTCTAGGGTAATAAGAATTTATGGAGATGAACACTCATCTCGTAGACCCAGATCAGGGATTCCTGTGATTTAACCTATTGAGTCCACTCCACACCCCTTAATAATGGTGTACTTCTCACCACTAAGGTGGTACGAATACTTGATATATATGTATATTGCGTGTGACTATACATTCATGTTTGCTCCTATGCAAAAGGGAAAAGAAATGAAAATCTGGAATCCAAATTGTTCATCGAAAACAATTCCTGTTATATCAGAAGACACGCATCAGTGACCACCACAATTAGTGTCCAGACAAGGAATCCTTGGGTAGCCCTTCTTTTGTATGATATCAGATTGACCTTACATTTTTTACCCAAAATTAAAAAAAAAAAAAAAAGATTGGCCCTACATCAGAACCCTATCCATCTACTGATGAAGCGGTTCTAGACCCTGTAACTTGTTTTTTATTTTTTTTCAAAAGTTCAAGCTCTTCAAAACAACTTGATGATGATCTTTCAGAAACCCAGAATTGATTTCATAATCAGAGCTAAACTAAAGAAATTTTACAGGGGAAATAGGATTAATTGTGGTAATCAGTTCTCATGTATGCTTGAGTTTCACTGACACACACATATATTATATCTATCTATATATATATAATACAAAATAAAGGAATCTTAGTTGTCTCTGCCAAAACTAGGCATGTTTCATGCATCTTTCTTAGAAGTCATTTTCCAGTACTGCTTAGTTAGGTTTAGGGATGGCAATTTCCACCTTGCCCGTTGGGTAGCGGTCCCTAGCTATCCTCTCCAACAGGGCAGGTTTGTTTTTTTGAAAAACAGATTTTGGGTCGGGGATGGATTTTAGGATTTTACAATCTGTATTGGTATGGATAGGGTATAGTATTACATTAAACCCAATCCTCTTGAAATCATATTGAATTTACTAAGATGCCCTTAATATTGGATGTTAACTTTGTTGTTGTAAGGTATATAAACCTATGTATCATGTATTGTCAGTGTTGAATTTAATAGTGTTCTAAATCTTATGCAAACGCTGACTGATAGCTTATGAAAAATTGAAAATTTAGCGTTTGTTTATGTTATTTTACTTCTTTATTGCTTATGTATAATAACAAATAATAAAAAAAATTAGATGTGGGTTTTGGACCTAATCCATCAATCTAACCTGCCTCACCCTTAAATAGGGGGAGTAGGGACAAAAAAAGGTTTTATATTTTCATATAGGGGGAGGATTTGGATTTTGAAAATCAAATTCCTTAGGGTTAGAGTCTTAGAGAGTCAAAAAATTTACAAAACCCTCAGTTCCGTTGCCATCCGTAGATAGGTTGAAATAGCCATAAAGTCAAATTATTGCATCCTAAATTGACTTCAAATTATGCCTGTTTTGGCTTGTGGACTTGGGAAAGAAATTAAAATTCATAAAACCTGAAGACAGAACTCATATTGTGTCAAGCGATCTCTGTAGATATGACCTTACCCTCTTTAATTTGAATTGCAACAAGTGTGATTACTGCCAATTGATCGGATCACGATCTCTAGACCCAATTAGACTAAGCAGCTAGCGTATGGTTCTCAACTGATGGGTCCATTTACAACACAGTAAGCATAGAATTTGGATGCATTCAGACAATAAGTAGATTTGAATCGCATCTGAATATTAACAAGCCCGGTCCAACTCACCCAATTGACAGTCGTAAGAGATGATGGTCTAACTTTGCTTTAAGACCGACTTTAAGACCATCCTCATGGACTCACAGCTCTGTTTGGGATATTCGGGTCACGTGGTTTATGAACTAAGAACAGTGTTTCATGTGTCTTTGATCCTCTACACGATGTTGAAGGTGGCCTACATCCATGTAATTAGAAATGAGAGAATTGCAGCTGCTTCTGGTCAAACAGAGAAGCATTGAATTGTGATGATGTGCCAAATCGCTGTAAAAAAAAAAAAAAGATATAAATGTATTAAATGCAAAGGTAATATGTCTAGAAGAAATGAACAAGGAATTCAGAAGCTCACAAAGAAAATTTTCCAAGTAAAAGACAAGAAACAAAGTACGAAATATCCATCTCTGGGTCCCCCTTTATTGAGCAATCTGGTCTCGAGAGGGCCTTGACATTAAGGCTGGTCTGATGTATTGCTGTTATAATTAATTAATTTGGGTATCTTTTAACTTTTATCTACGGTACTGGAACTGGAAGAGATGTGGAAATTAAAGAAGGGGGGGGGGGGAACAAAGAGAAAAAGCACATGAGGAAAGGAAGATAGATTCAGGTTTTAGTTGAGGATTCCAATTCATTTTTCAGCAATTCAAACTTGCTTCAGTGTTTGCTGCTCTTTCTTGTTTCTTTAAGCAAAACATGTTTCTTCTTTTATTTATTCCCTGATGTCATTATCAACTTTAGTAAATCTACTATGGGCATGGATCTTAGGCTTAATTAGCTAAACCAATGAGAACAAAAGGAGCCCACCTCATCCCTCGCCATGGGTTTCAGAGTTCCAGCCAATAGCTAGATCTCTTACTGCTTATGATCAACTATATATCTGGTTAATCAATTCAAGAAGGCAAGTTTAACACAAATTTGCCCTTAATCATGGCTGCTTATCTCAATATTAACAAAAGTTTTAAGAGGAGTTGGTTAATATAATCGATTAATCTCTGATTCAAATGTTGTTGTTGATCAAGATGTACATGCATGTCTCCCCACTCATAGAATGAAGTATGAAGGCAACCGACAGCATCCAAAGGATTCAAGACTATTTGGTAAATGAAAGGACAGCCTTCAAAGGCAAAACAGCACAGTGGTACATGGAAGATAATTACAAATTAAGGAGGGTTGGACCCCACCAAAACGGGTCCCACAAAGGAGATACTTGAGCTGAAAATTGACCAGGTTACAAAATCTCAGCCGTCCACCTATCAACATCTTACGTATCCCTAGGGAACTGGTCATCATTTAATTGCTCAAGTCTCCCAGGTGGGATGGTCTTGAAACCTTATAAATTACTCAATTGAAATCTCTTCTTTTGAGCAGAAATGAAGAATTCGGAATTTTGTGGAATTCAACATGTCTATTTCCAAACTTAACAAGGAATTTTTCATCTCACACCGTATGATATGAGATGAGACGACAGATTTGGATGGGCCCAGTAGATGGGCTTATAGATCTATGTTTGGCACTAGTTGTTCTTTGGGTAGATGACGATGATACCTAACAATGAGTTGGAATCATTCACTAGATTTAAGGTCGACTCATCAACCCCAAGTGGACCAAGGAGCTTGCAAGGATGGGAGTCACGTCTCTATCTGTTTGCTGGGAGAAATCCCTACTAAAACTTCAGTAGAAAGGAGGCTAAAACACACCAACCATTAACCAACCTTTTGTAGAGAATTTTTTACAGGCTTCCAGTAATTAATCACATGAACTTGTGTAAAGAGAGGTTTGATCTCCAGTGGAGAATCTTTTTTTTTTCTTCTTTTTTTTGGGGGGTTAAGAAACAACAAATTCTATGGAGAGAATCCGCAATCAACTTTTACCAACTTTGAAATTCAAGTATAAAAAAACAATAGAAATTAGGTTTAGGTCAAGGAAAAAGAACCAAAACTGCCCTTAAATCTCTATTACGTAGCCAAGTTGTACATGGATAAAATTCATGAATTCCTTGCATTTAGAAAAGTGTAGTAGTTTTCATAAATCGTCACAATCAATTGTACCCAATTGACAAAGTGGTGGAAGAAAACAAAAGAATTTTGAGATTTTAATTAAGAATGAAAGCAATCTACTGAGAATGACTTAACACAATGTAACCTAATTAATGTTCATAGATGCATGGATGCAGGGATGGGCATCCATATATGACCTGATAAAATAAAATAATAATAAAAAAAAAACAACAGAAGATGAGGCTTGAATCAATTAATTCTCCAAACAAGCAATGAATGAACCAACTTGAAGAGTTTATAAACACGGTTGGTTCACTTGTTACAGTGAGAGCTTTGATATTTCACTGTGAATTAAGGACAAAAATATAATCCATCACTAGTAGCAGTACGGTTGGGTATTATTTAGTTTTATTATTAAGCATTAGTGCTGGGCGATAGTGGTGGGGTTAATTATTAATAATTGGGATATAAGAGAAAAAAAGGAAAATACATTCAAGTCAACCAACTCACCTGGATTCCGGTTCATACCTACTCTTCAGTCTTCACTCGTTGGGGTTGAGTTGGGTTGTTGCCGTGACTCGTTTGTTGTGTAGAGATCGAATTCGATCATTAAAAAGTTGTATGTAGAGTTTGTTGTGTGGATGAGGATGACACGTTGTGGTCTGAGCCATGACGAACCCAGATTAATTGGTTACACACTTATACACAAACACCAAACTGAGTGTCTGAGTCAAGACACCCGGCTGCTTCAAAAGAAGGATGGGAGCTAGGTGATTAGGCAAATGGAAAAAAGAAAAGATAGAATGATTACGTTGATGATGGCTTACAATAATTGTAAATTATGTGGAAAAACAGAGTTAATGGTCATAAAAAAAAGGAAAATTAAATGAGAGAGGAAGAAAAAGAGGAACAAAAGCACCTTCATAGGGCCCATGGCATGTCTCCTCAGTAGGCCCCCGCGATGTGATCTTCTTTCTCCACTGCACTCCTATTCCTTTGCCTTCATCCCCCATTTCTTGCCTTGTCTTCCCCAAGAAAAGCCAACACACAAACACAAAAGAAAGAAGGAATACTCATCGGCGGTGCGGCGATGTCGACTGAGGGAGCAAAAGATTGTGCAGAAGGGTCGTCGAGACATGGTGGTGGTGGTGAGCAGCAGCAATCGGCACCTCTGAGTCGGTACGAGTCGCAGAAGAGGAGAGATTGGAACACCTTCGGTCAGTACTTGAAGAACCAGAGGCCCCCGGTTTCACTCTCCCAGTGCAACTGTAGCCACGTTCTGGACTTCCTCCGGTACCTGGATCAGTTTGGAAAGACCAAGGTTCACTTACAAGGGTGTGTGTTCTTCGGCCAGCCAGAGCCTCCTGCGCCTTGCACATGCCCTCTCAGACAAGCTTGGGGAAGCCTCGACGCACTCATTGGCCGCCTCCGAGCTGCCTACGAAGAGAACGGTGGCTCGCCGGAGACCAACCCTTTTGGAAGTGGTGCAATCCGTGTTTATCTGCGTGAGGTAAGAGAGTGCCAGGCCAAGGCGAGGGGAATCCCCTACAAAAAGAAAAAGAAGAAGAGAAATCAAATCAAGCCCAACGACAATCCCAAGCCCACCACGACGACGACGACGACGATGCAGTCCTCTTGATTCCTTTGCCTTCCGCTGCTAGCTCCGAATGGTAATTCTGTCATACATAATATATACAAAATTTCATAGCTTTTAATTTACTTGGAGAAGCTGATGAATCTGGAACTGACCCAGACCTCAACTTCATCATCATCATCATCATCATCACAATCATCTACTCATCAACAAATGATCATCAATAGCAACGGAATATATATATGTATAAATCTGCAGTCAATAACGAAACAATTGCACAAGGGTGTGGCATTCCTTCTGCTACCGATCCCCCATGAAAGGACGACCATGGGGAATACCAGCCAGCAGCTGGTACTGTGATGGGTCGTCTAGCCTAGCTAAGCTCAATTGCTTGACGTACTTACTGTACATGGCTGCAGGCTGCAGACCATGAGATTGCGGGTTTCAATTACAGTCGACCCACCCAAGAATTAATGGTGACACCAATGTATCATAAGCACGGTCTGAAATTTGATTGCTATACCCGTATTTGAGTTGGAGAAGGTATAATTAAAGAGCTAATTAAAGAGCAGTAGGCTATAGCAAACAGTATAGATTAACCAACCCAGTAAACCCCTACACAGTAAATGCTATATCCTCTATTATGGTCCAATTAATCATCACTACTCCTTATTTAGTTAGGGGATTTCCTTCCCTTGATAGTAAAACCCTAGTCTGACCACCCCAGAAACAATAATCTGCATAATTGCTTTCCAGATTGTGAGCCAAGACCCAGAGAATGAAAAAAAAAACTGTACTCAGTTACTTTACCTTAACGAGACTTTTACACTCAAACATAATATGCAATCATGGAAACGAGAAGAATCTCTCTCTAGAGAGAGAGAGTAGAGACAGGCATTATGTAAGAAATACTGTTTTCTTGTGGTTTCCTGATTTAATATTTCTCACTTGCATGTTTGCTTTTCACTAGTTTTGGCTCTTTTGGGATTCTGCACGATTTTGTGCCCCCCATGGATGGCCATGTAAACACTTTCCATGTTATATATTTATACTTCACGGACGTGGAGACCAATATTTCAGGGAATTTGCATGCTTTTTATATAACTTTTTCTCTTTATTAAAACATATATAATCCTCGCATAAACAAACAAATTTATCATTAATGCAAATCCCTCAGACATAGCTGCAGCACAAATTCCTTTGTTTAATTTGTTAATAATAAAGAACAGCTCATCAGCTGCTCTCTGGTTCAGTTTACCTTTCGCATGGGTCGGAATGGGGATGCAGAAGGGCGTTCCCACCTCATCTTCTGGTTCTGGAGGGCAATTTTGTCATTTCGTGCATCTAAATATATAGCAATTGTCCTTCGTTTCTTGCTAGATTTGTCTTTAGCCAGTATTAGATATTATGTTAAAGTAAGTGAAAGTTATTATTCTATTCTCCCTACAATATTGCTTTAATTTGGTTTTCTGCAGTCAACAATGTACTGGTACACAGTTGCAGCAAATGACCTTTTCTTTGGAACTAATAAGTAATAACCCATCTGTTGCATCGATCGAGTTGTGAACCCTTGTTGCCATCAATTAATGTTTCCTTCGCTTGATGAGATTCTCATTTGTCTTCTCCTTTTTAACCTCTAAATCCATTAAGATAGATGCTAAATTGAAGTTGTATGTCATTGTCTTATATACCACTCTCCATCTAGACCTTTTAATGGAGAAAATAGAGATTGTTGTTTGCTTGCTTTTTTCTTTTTTTTTTTTCAACTTTTGTGTGGGTTGACTGCATTTTAATCAGCTCTTGCTTGATGTTTATAACATTATCTAGGTAACCTATCCAGACAGATATCCAAATCTCCTGAGTTTATTATTTGGACCAGATAGATGTGAATTTCTGTATGTTGAGTGCCTTTGGCTTGTTATCTTCTGCTTGGATCTCTCGCTGTTTTAACAGCGTCAGTGTTTCAGTAGAGAACATGGCTTTCATTTACATGGTTGTGAATTATTTGAATCCCACATGGTAAATTAGTGATTAGTAAATGGTTTTAGTTCAGGGTTTTCACTTAATCCAAAAGAAAAAAACAATGTTCAAAAGTCACTACATATTAATCCATCTGAAACATGGGAATTAATCATTTATACCTTGGCGTGAAAAAATGGAGGAAATGATCTTCTCGATGCACCTGGTTTTAGTGTTTTTTCCTTGCTTCAAGTATTCATTTTTGTGGGGATCGAGATGTGATGTTTTAATGACTAATATTTCCATTTGATGGTTCATTTGTGCAGGATATCATGTTACAAGTCAATCGAATGGGAGGGATTGAAAAGGCAAATGATCTGAAGTCTTGTAGTTTCTATTTCAATTCCTGCTTTTCTCTTCCAAGTAGTTAGAATCAGGCGCTAGTTATAATACCTATTGTGACATTCTCTTATTAGTTATTCCCATTTTCACTACGTTTTTGGCCCTTGTAAGCTATTTTTACATCTCAACATCTATAAGAAAACAATTATGTTATGCTAATGTAATACTTGCTTTATGCAGAAAAAAAAAAACCAAAGAGATTTTCTCTTGTTTATTAGCACCTAGAAAAAATAGAACATTTCTATTTGTTTGATACTTTAATTGGAAACCAACTGATGAATTTTGCTTCTAAATGTGGAATTTGATGTCATTAATGCTATAAATTAACTATGTATGGTGTAAATGGAGCAATTGAAGCAGAAAGATTTAAATTTGAAGTTCCTAAATTTGTAATTGAATTCCAAAGAAAAACCAAACTGGACAGCCAAAGCATAACCTTGTAAAATGATTAAGAAACAGATGTAGAACGGAATAGTGTTAAAAATGTATATTTCCCTGATTATCAATAAAAAATTAGTTTAATATATAAAGAAAATGCAAGAAATTAATTTCTATGAACAGCTTGAACATTATCAGGATGCACTCATGTTTATTGAACATTATTTTTTAGAAGAAAGGCTCTTAATCATCTATAATTTCCTTGAAATTTGTCTCTAGCTAAGAAGTTTCTAGTGATAATCAGAAAAAAAAATATTTTGGATGTGTCTTTGTAGCATTTAACAAAATGTAAGAGGAAAAACAGGTATCTTTGATGTTTCATTTTTCCTTTTTTATTCTTGGATTTTCAACTCAAAAGCTTTAGCAATGTTATGAGATCTTCCTCAATGGCAAATATCTGTTGATCACACAAAAATAATGATTTCTTTGCAATAGTTTACATAACTAAAGTTGGGTTTCTTTGCAATAGTTTCATCTTCTTTCTCTACATTAAAGTATTTTGGTCAAACTTCAGACTTTCATCCCAAGTTGAAAAACATAAAAAAAGCAGTTCAGACATGTCACATATATAGGGATGACTCAGAGGGACCCAGTTCTGATCACATCCTCTAAACAGCAATGGTCACAGCCTCACTTCCAATGGGAGGATTAACCTCTTTCTTCTTGATACATAACAAGTTGAAATATCTGTTGGCTGGTTTCTGTTGTGCATTGGCACAGAACCACAATGAAAATATATTGACAAGGAAATTTGTGAAGCCTTGGTCATACTATAATATTAATAATTCATGTTATCTCTCACCTTTTATTAGTTTTCACTTTTCATAATTATTTGATTCTAGATGTCCCAATGCTTACTTAAAAAATATAATTAAAAGGGAGAAACTTTGAAGGAAAAGTAGATGAGTCACACAATAGCCAAACTTGGGGATAAACTTCCTAGGACAATAACTTAATCATATCTAGGATTATTACTTTTCATATATATGACAATATATAGAATGTTCAAAGGGATAATACTTATCTATCATTGTATCAGTTCTTTTTCTAGAACATGTCAATATGCAATGTTTCCTGCAGCTAGGCTGACTCATGAGAATATAAGATATAATCACTACCATTATAATATAGCTTACATGATGTAAAAGAAGGTACTACTTTAGTATTACTAATTGTTTGAATTTACACATTAGTTAAGAATTCCATATTGAGCTCCAATTTTCCACTTTATTAATTTCTAGTAATTAACTTCGTTTAAAGAAGTATTCTATTCTTGTTTTTCCATAATCATAGGATGATAGATAGGGCTGCAACTTGGACCAGGTTAGTGGGTTGTGTTTGGTTGATCATCAAGTTAGGATTAGGGATTACTTTTGCCTACCCAATTTCACTTCGGGTTGGGTTGGTTTGGGTACATATGTATTATGTACCCGAACTACTATTAATTGTTATTGTACATATGTATTTTAGTCCCATTACATTTCATCATAATCCATTTGTCTTAACTCTTACTTTTCAATAGGAGAAAAAGGGCAGCCCAAGGCTCCTGCCAGTATGGTCTGGGGAGGGACAGGTGTATATAGCCTTATCCTCGCACATACAAAGAGGTTGTTTTCAAGATTTGAACCCTAATCACTCAGGTCAAAATAGAACAACCCGACCATTGCACTAAAGTCCACCTAGACTCTCAATAGGAGAACTATCATGGTTTTCTTGTCTGTTGTTCAGGTACTTCTTGTACACTTCTATTAATAAAGTTTTACCTTACCATTTTCAAGAAAAAAAAGAAAGAAAAACTATCATGGTTCATAATACTCTAACCATTAGGAACATTCCTTCTTTCATTTTTGTACTAAAAGAGCCACTAAAAACATTGAACAAGCAATACCCATAAAATAATATGCTCAAGATATGGTCATACCTATTCAACGATTAAAATTATTTTAGTGATATTATGAGATTTTAAGAGGATGCGAGAAAGGTCGGTTGGGCAAACCCAAGGCCCAACCTTTAGGGTTGAGAGATTTTAAGTTGGGTTAGGATTAGGGTTGAATAGGTCGGGTCGGGTTGGGTTAGGGAAGGTTGAGGATTCAGAACTTTGGGTTTGGCTAGGGTTGACCTCATCTTGACCCAAATCAGCCTAACTTGCACGCTATTGATAGAGCTAATTATTTCATTATTTGCAGAGAAACTTTATACATTTCTGAGAGTCACTTGTCTTTTCTTTGAAGACCCTATTTAACCCTTTGGTGTTTACATAGTCCAATAAGATAAAAAAGCCCTTCCACTCATTATTAGTATCATCTATATTCATATACTTTTATTGATCAATATCTTATTAGCTAGATACAAAATTGTGCCTAATACAAAGAGTAATATTGGTTAAAAGCCTTCGACTATGATGCCGGAAAGGATATGATATTGTTAAAATTTTACCCAATCAAACTGTATTTAAAAAGATATTTTGATATTGGAGGATTAAGGTAGGTAGATGAATGGGAAAGAATTAATGCCCAAAGGATGTACAAGGTATATTTTTGCAGATAAAGTTCAGTACAATGGGGAACAAAAAAGAAAAGATTAATAGAGTTGTTATATTACAAGTTACAACCAAGCAAAATATAAAATTCTGTGCATCCTTTATTCATAGAAACCCCTAGTGAAACTTCTCTCACATAGGGTAATTCTCCTATGAATTTTGATAAATGACACCTTATTAGTGACAACGTTTATGATTCCAATCCAATTTATTGGTCAGTTGTTTTTCGGATATCATTTCTTTTCCATATGATAGTCGAACCTTTTGTCTCATAACGTGGTGAAGCAAGTGGCAAATAACCACTAAAGATAGAATAACTGCTATCTGATCAACAGGGAGAATGAAATCAATTAAGTTATGACAAGCTTGCTCAAAAACAAGGGTGTTAATTTGATTTTACATTTTTAGGGATTGAATGGAACCTACAAGAGAAATTACAATTTCTGCGTACACATGTGATAACTGAATGTTATTTGGACTCATTGATATGTTGTGTGATTGTTGTTTGTTAGAGCAGAAGATCAGAAATTGGGACTAGGAAAGATGTAACAACCATAAGAGTATATATATCCAGCTCAATCAACATATAGAACTCAACTCAAAGAATATACGGGTCATTCAACCATAAGATGTAACAGTTACGGTTTTCAAAACCGGACCAGAAAAATTGGGAACCAGTCATTTGATCGGTTCCATTTTACCCTAAAATTGTTTTTTAATCAAAAACCGTTGATTTGGCCAACAAACCATTGATCCGAGCAGTCGAACTGTCAAACCATCGACCTGGACAACGGTTTTTGACATTTTTTTTATTTTTTATTTGTTCTGTTAGACTGGGCCAGACAGTTGGACCGTTCGACCTAGAAAATGGACCCAGAATGGCTCCCTGTCCGATCTGGTTTTAAAAACCTAGGTAACAACAATGTACATTTTGGCTTGCCCCTAGCTCTTTTGAACCTTCCAAATTTCAATATAGATTGTTTTCTTATTACTGGTGCTATAAATGGGCTTTTATATACATGGCCAAATCGTTCTTGTTGATCGTTTTCCTTCATTTTATAACATATCATGGTTACTAGATCTTTGATCAGCCCGGATCTCCTATTTACTTAACAATGTATTAAGGCGTGCACCAACCAATGAAAAACAAAACCCAAGGCAGGGGGGTGGTTTTGATTGATCAAGATGGGAGAACCACCCCCATAAATTAATTCGAAGAATTTTCAATATTGGTTAGTGTCTTCCTTATTACAAGACGTTAAGTCTACGCTTGGTTTGAAGGAAAAGGTAGGGAAAGGAAGGGAAACCTATATTTCCTTCAAACCAAACGCAGCCTAAGTATAAGAGATTCCGAGGATTCTTCCATTTCCATATATGCTCATTTAATTAGAATCCTATTTCTTGCAGAATTACCATCCATGTGTCTCAGTATTCACATTTCTACCACATTCATTTTTTATACAATTGACTGTTCAGCACTTTGTTTTATATAACAGTAGCTGATACTTAAAGTTTTGGGTTTTTTATTTGATTTAGGAGATTATATTAGTTTTTTTTTTTTTAATTTTCAATTGAAAAATGTACTTTATTTAGAAGAATGTAATGTCTTGAAGACATTTGTGGTAGTTTTTTATTTGAGTCAAGAAAATTAAATTTGATTTTCAACTAAAGGATATAAGATAATTTTTAAATTTCCTTTTACTCTGAGTGGTATTCTCTAATTACACAATATCGAGAGCGTATGATATATGGTATATGCCATTTGAATTTAAATTTTATGGTCTGCATCAAAACCAAGGTAAGTATCCACTTTATATAGAACAGATTTAGAAATAAAATAAACATTAATAGAGAGTAATTTGTAGTAATTAATCCCTGACAATCCCCAATGGAATTCTACTTCAATATTTAGAAATCATATAGAAATTAATGGGGATTATACATTGAAGATATATGAAGTCAAAATAATGTATTGTGGTTAAAGGCAGCTAATGATTAAAAAAACTAAAGAATCTATTGTGATATACACAATATTAATCCACTGATGTATTTGGTAGCTTAATTAAACAAGCACAATGGAATTAATTGATATCTGGCCTCAACAATTAAGCTAAGTATTGCTTTTTGGAGCACCAACTTCAAAAATCAGATACACAAAAAAAGATATTATTCGATGCCAATCAACTATCACCCAAAAGCCAACCCAACCCAATCAATAGAAAAATGGAAAAAAGAAAATATTGTGATAGTGGATATCATAATAGAAACATATGTACTAGATGCTTTGGAATGTCGAGGTGATGAGTATGACAAGTAGTGAAGAATGGTAAAACTCCAATAACAATAACAACATGAAGGTATTGGCATTAAAAAGTAGTGTTCGGTATTAGGTGAGATATATAGGAATAACTTGCTTCCAACTTGTCGGAGTGACTCTGCAAATTAAAAATGTAACATATTTCGTTTGTTCGGGGCATACCCAAGACAGTAAGAAGTGGCCAGAATCTCTCTTGTCAGATTTGGCCCCAAAACATGAAGTGCAATAATGGAAGGGAGAAAGTGATTGATGCATTAGATTTGCCTACATGAATTAATGCTTTTGTTTTTGTAAAACAAAATAATTGAAATGCCACACCAACAACCTCTAAGTGCTGTTCAAATATGAAATTTAATTTCAAGGTCGATCCATAGAATTGTGAAAAACATATGAAAATAAGGTAGGGAATATGCAGACCAGAAAATATAGTTGGCTAGTAACACAAGTGACTGCATCGAGACGATTTGAAAGAGTCTTCAATGACCAAATATATACATACATATTTACATACATATATACATACTTATATATAATTTAAATTTAAATTATAGATAAGTTGAAGGATATATGGAAGACCATATGGGTAATAGTAGTAATTATAAGAAATGATTAAAACACTAATAATTTAATAATAGATATGGCTTTAAATAGAATGGATTGACGAAACAAATTCATGTAACAGCGACGATGACAATAAGGATGAATTTAAATTGTAGACAAAAGTAATTAGAAATAATTCTAAAAACCCAAATTTAGAAAACCAGCAACAGGAAAGGGAGAAGAATGTGGAAGCAGTACTAGTGATAAATAACCATGAAATACTGAGCTTATAGGTACTGAAATTAAGCATGGTAAAATACTAAAATATACAACCCTAACCATAATGATCTGCACTCATCAAGAGAATATATATACAAGATACCCACAAGAATAAATCAACCAAAGGCACGCCCAAGAAAGGAGATGGAGTGAAAACATACGGGGTCTCCATGATCTATTCAAGGAAGGAAATATAATAGATAAAACACACAATAATACATGAAAAGAAACCAAGGCTATGTTTGGTTTTGATTGAGAAACAGATATCTTTCCCCCATTTGGCTAGATGTTTCTTTTTATTTTTTTATTAATAGAAACTAAATGATTTAATAAATCACTTATAATGATGGAGTTCAGATGAGATGACTGAGAAGTAGCTCAGTTCACACTTGAACTAATTAATTCTTCTTTGGACTTTTACCTTAGGATTCCAAGCCTAGAGATCCTCCAGGGACCCAAGAATTTCTTCTAAATCTTATGCTGAGCCCATTGCCTAACTTGCACGAGTAGTAAACCAAAAATGATTTTTTTTTTTTTTTTTTGCTTATACCAATGGCAGGAGTTGCTTCTCAACTTGGTAATAAGTAACCGAATAACTCAGTTATTTCAGTTGACGAAGACAAACCCTTTTCTCTTCATCTTTTGGATTTCTTGACAGGCTTTTGCCAAGTACCAACTTCAGAGATCAGGATCTGTTATGACGAGGGACTACTCTCTCTCTCTCGCCCACATCCAAAGAATTTGGTTCAGAAGCATCACGTCCCTCTTGTATTATTCGCAGAGTCACGATTCCTTCCTCATCAAAGGCATATTTATATGAAGTTGTCTACTGTGTGCCTCTTCTATTTTCATCTCATTCTCCACTAACCAGACGACCTTGACCAGAACCCTCTCATGGGAAGCTCTGTAATGATCAGTTCATACTTTATTTTGTTCAACGCGGTTTCTGCTGTACTTCTTGTACGTCTGGGATTATAACAATAATAAACCATTTTTGAACTATATATGCTCTCTAAAAACTGAAGTTGAAGCCGAGCTTCAATTCCTTTTTGTAATTAAATCCTCAAAAGACTAAACTCTTCTAAATTTATGAGTAGTCTGTACAGAACTGCAGATGGTTGTTTATTTTTTTGGGTGAGCTCAGAATTGCAGAATGCAGATAGTTACGTTGGGTTGTATGTTGTTCCGATGAGTTATCATTAAAGGGATTTGTCTGTGAAAGCGAATATATATATATACTAGTCCCCTTGTTTCTCTTGGAACTTGGAGGATATACTGGGTTTAGTGCTTTAATTTTCTTCAATATATAATAAATCATTTGGATCATGGAGCCCACGTTACAGTTTTCTCTTTTCTTTTATATTTTTCTCTTTTCCTTTCTGGTGTGGACTGATACTTGATCATGGCTGAGCTCACAGCAGAGCAAGAGCACACATGTCATAAACCAGTGTGTCATGCAACCACGGCGTGTGGCTCTGTGTGGGGTGTGGCCAACCACTTCATTTCTGTCAGATAGGACACGCCCACTGTATTGGCATGTCTTGACCTCCCCCTCTTCCAGGTTCCCAGCCAGCTTAGCTCTCTATACCCAGTACCCACCATTCATTGGACCCTTTCCCAGAGTTGTGTATGACAGTAAACCCATTTAACCACATCACAGGGGCTGAGAAACTTGCCCATGAGTAGAGGTTAGAGACAGCTAGAAAGAGATTATTATTATTATTATTATTATTTTTCTTTTGTGGGTGCAACTGAAGATTAAGATTGAAAGAGAAGCCTGTAGTAGTTCTGCCACATGAGAGAGGTCTATCCAATTCCTTTTGTCCACATGAGCCCCATCTTGATCTACATATACAATTTGAATGGTTCCCAGGAATATAATTTTGTATATAAACCAAAGCTGAAAAGATGACATTTGACAAATGGCATTGGCCCATTGGCTGAACCTTGACAAAGAGAATCACTTGGACCCACGTTGGGCTGCCACATATTTAATGTAGGAATTGTAAATTAGCAGGATTCAAAACCTGGTTTGTCGAAATGGCATAAAATAACCACAAATCATATAATATATATATATATATATACTATAATAGCAGCTGGCCCAGAATGTACCATTTTAGACATATTGTTGTATATATATATAAAGTTAGAAGTAGAAAAGCAGCTTATTGGGTCCCCTTCTCGGTGAAAGGACAAACAGCATTCCTATTGAATGATTCTTTTTGTCAATATAAATGGAGGTATCATTTGCCTTTCAAGGACAAAATGTCCCCATTTATAAAAAGTTGGATGCACCCCAAATCACTACCCGGTGATCTGATGGAAAAAATCAGATGAGAAGGCTCTCATTTGTTTGAACTACACATGCAGTTTATCACCCATTGGGGCTTGAAATTAGAAGAAATGTTCACAATTAATTTCTTTCGGATGTGGCTTTCAAATCATAAGGCTGCGTTTGGTTTGAAGGAAATAGTAGGGAAAGGATGGGAAAGGCAGGAAACCTTTACAAATCTTGTATAGGTTTCCCTGCCTTTCCCTTCCTTTTCCTTCAATTCAAACCAAACATAGCCTAAATTCGACACTACAGAACCAACATGGATTGCTCAATGAAAGCGCTCTCATTGGATCATCACTCATATATGTATCAACTTGGTGTAGGGCCAAACAAGGACTTAAGGCAAGCATTTTTTTCCTGGACAAGGCACATGCTGACCTAGACCCGCCCAATTCCCAATTGCACTAGAGTGGTGTTAGCAAATTGGTACTATATATAGACCCATTTATATCCCTTTCCCAAATCGGATGGGACCAAATTGATTCCCACATCCTTCTCCCATTTAATAATTATCTTTTGTATTAACTTAGAATAAATAATTAAGGTGTTATTTGGCAAATCCTTTTAAGAAGATCTTTTGACAGTTTAGATGGCTAAAAGATGCAATAAACTTTTGGGTTCTTATCTTTAAAGATTTCCTAGTCTTCCATGATCCACAAGTTAAATGAAAGACTTTAGGTGCAAGATAGGAAGCTTCATTTGAAACTTCCAGATTTTTTACTAGTTTGGGCTTTTGTGAGCTTTTTAGGTCATATGTCTTTGACTTCCTATATATCTTTCGTTGCCGAACAGAGAAAGACCAAATTTTGGTCTTCCAAGCTTTGAAAAGCTCAAAAAGACTTGTCAAAAGCCTCCTAAATCTAGTGCTTATCTTCTCAACATTTGCATTCCCAAAGGAATTTCTTTCATTAGAAGTAATTAGAGAAACATTAGTATTTTATGGTCTGAGTTAGCACATAAACCACAACAGTTGTATTCTTCATTAGATTGAACGCCGAGAAAAAAGATTATTGTTATTGTTGTGTTGTTGTCATCATCATCAACATCATCCAAGCTTTATCCCTAATGTAGGCGCATATGGCCTGGCCCAATAGTGGGCTTGCATGTGTTAGGCGGCGGCGTTCAGAGTGGACCCAATTAGGGTGTGCGTGGAATAGAGCTCGACAGACATTTTGGAACCAATGGCATGGTGTCACTTGGTGACCTCGGATGACCCCGCCCCTCACATACGAACCACATTTGGACCGTCTGAGCCCATCTACCTCCAGGTGGCCTCAAGTATAAATAGGAGATAACCCCCTCAAGGTAAAGGGCTGGAACTTAAGAACTTGGACTTGAAAACTCTTAGTCTCGTCTGAGTGCTCACAGCTCAGGCCTCGTCCACTTTGTACTGCTCTCGTACTAACTTGACCGTCGGAGTCTTCGCCTCGTGTACCAACCCGGGGCCTCTAACATCCTCCTTTCTTCACTCCTTGCAAGACAGGCCTATCAGCCCTCGGCCACATCGGGCCTCAGACTACTCAACCACACCTTGGCTTAAGAGCGAATTGAGAGTGTTGCCCTCAGCCCAATTCAACCGACAACAATCCCAATTATATGGGGTTGGTTATATGGGTCCTGTTTTGGTTTGCCAATTGCCATTAATACTATTATGTTCAATGTCATATATCTGTTGTTAAATTATTGGTGCATAAACCATATATCACCAAATTTGAAAAATAAATAAATAAACACATTTGACTATCCTCCTTGTATGAAAGCTTGTGAACAGCATTCTCTTGTACATATGAGTAAACGTTGTTATTTGATTAACATGGGATCTTTTTTCAACAAATAATCCATTCAACATAAAGAGCAATTTTGACATCCTCGTTCATTTAAAAAAATAAAATAAAATAAGAATATGTCGCAAGCAAGTCTGACAATGGCGGCAAGAATGTATTATATTATATTATATTATATATATATATATATATATTAAGGTTTTCTAAGGCTTAGTTTAAAAAGAGTATAAATACAAATATGTAAAGTGCAAAACCTTATATTTTGTACTATTGTACATATTTGTATTAATATTCCTTCCAAACTGAGCCTAATTTTTAAAATTCATAGATTCCCTTCTCCTTGAAGGCAGTCAAATATAAGTTATTTATTTATAGCTAGCTTATTAATAATAATATACATTCTTTAAAAGTTATCTATCTAACATTCTATATATTATTTTATAAATGAAATTACATTATATATATATATATTATAAGAAATGAGAGAGAGAATAGTTTGATGAGTGATGAATGGATATTGTGTTCCGTGTGAAAAGTGAAAAGGGGAGGGAGAATGTGCAGAAATTCAGGTGAGTGTGGGTGTGAGTGTGAGTGAGAGTGAGTGCATCTCTTGTCCCCATTGAAAAAGCTGAGGGGATGAGGTTACGTGAGTTGGGAGTATAGAGAGAGGTAGAGAGCATCCATCACCATATGACTCCTGTCACAATTAATGGTGATGACAAAACTCAAACACAAAAGGATATTATCATATATAGAGAACCAGGGAAAGAGGAGACTTAACTAATTTTGGAATTCAACTAACTCCATCAACTCCATCGTCGTAGCCAACTCAGCTGCCACCAAAGCAATGAGTCATCGACACCTCCTCTCACGGTGTTCCGAGAGTCGTCCCACTGTAGAAGGCTGCTCTAAGATTCCAAGAGTCTGTCTGACGGGTTTCAGACAGACAGTCGGTCACCTCGTACCTGTACACAGTGGCGAAGAGTCGAAGACTGCTACAGTTTTTACCCGGGAAAATACAAGAAAACCAAATCAAGTTGCAGATGTTAGGTGCGCATTAAAATCTACGTGCCTGGTCCGTTGCTCTGTTAAACAGAGAGAGAGAGAGAGTGGAGTTCCATTACTTCCATTGACTCCACTCTTGTTTTTATACTTGTGTCGTCTGTTCAACAGTTCCAAGTGTTGAAACCGTAAGTTTCGGCTATTTATTTTGACCAAAATATTAATTTTTTATTAAAATGATAGAATAAAATATAATAGAAGAATTAGATTTTATGTATAAATTAATTCACCCTAAAGTTTGTTTATTTATTTTTTTAAATTTGACTCTTTAATTATGAGCCCATAGTTCAAAATGGCTGAAATTTTCAAAATGTAAAACCTTAATCGAGACTTGAAAAGAATCCATATATATATATATATAATAAACGTGGGTGATGATATATGATGATGATAATAATAATGTTTTAGTTAATGTCATTTCTACAATTTGAATGACTTTGATATAGACAATTAGTCTTCAGAAAACCCTTACATCTATGTTCAAAGTCTCGGGGATGGCACTCCATTGGGGGCATTGTCAACGGTGAAGTTGTTTCCTGCAAAGGCAGGGGGAAGGAAGATTCTTTGTTTGTGAGTGGACGAGAATGCCAACATTGATAGATTTTGTGTCTGGATACAAAGATTATAGGCCAAACTAAATTATACTTGAACACATGGTGATTAAATATTGGATGCAGTTAACTCACCTCAAGTATGTTAACAGAGAAGTTGAAGATTGTTGGCAAAGCTCCGCTTTCTACATAAGTTTCTGCATCAACATTTAAATGCTCAAACAGTCAAACCAGATTTTGATTTTGGAAACATCAAGTCCAACTTTGAGCACAACCTAGATGCAGAGAAAGTAACTCAATAAATACATTCAAGGGAAAAAAATTCAGTTCAGCAAAAAATGGGAAAGGAAATGAAGAAAAAAGAAGAGTCTCTAATACTTATCAATCCAGTTTTTGAGCTTCAACAAAAACTTTTCATTATCTTCCTCTGCAACTCTCAACAACCTCTTTAATAGAATCTTCTTCTCATGTAAACTGAGACTCAATATCAACTTCTTTGGTCTCACCCCCTACTCCAGACAGTAGACCTATGGTTATAAGTGGGCATTTTTTGAACAGTTAGACAGGGGGGTAGAAAACGTCCAGTGAAAATTCTAGAAAGAAGGGGCATTCACTCTTTTATAAGTAGCATACATACATATATACATACATACATACATACATAGAATATACATACACGTACATACATACATACATACATACATACATACATACACACGTACATACATACATACATACATACATACATACATACATACATACATACATACACACACAGTAGCATAAATCATTTACAATTTTTATACTATGGTGGCATTTGATAAATTTTAGCATTGATCATTGTAAAGAAAAAAATCTTAAAATAATTCTTATTTCTCAACTATTGAAAAAGAACTTTTCTACTTTTTATGGAGTTCTGAATAATGTCTACTTTTCCTTTTACATAATATATAATTATAAAAATATTTTGAAATATATCATAGGGTCATTTACTAAAAGACCCCTATACTTTTATGGATTTACTAAAATCTATCCAATAATTTTTGTTTTACTAAAATACCCTTATAGTTTTCAATTAATTTACTTAATCAACCTTCTAGTAGATTGAAGTTGAAAACATGGCCCTAGCATCTGTTTGGACCAATTTAATCTACAGGAAAATTAAATGGAAATGTCTTGCTAGCCCCTGGTAAAACGAATTCTAATAGCAATTCTAGGGGTACTTTCAAAATAAAATGCCATAAGCCCATGCCCTTAAACATTTTCCACTCAGAATAGGTGGTCAAGTTACCATTTTTAGATAACAATATAATAAAAGTTTGATTAAGGAAATCAGTTGTAAACTATAAGGGAGTTTTAGTAAAATGTAAACTATAGCCTATAGTGTAGCTTTTAGTAAATCTATGAAACTATAGAGAGTGTTTTAGTAAATGACGTTAAATTAAGTGATCTAACCTCCAAAGTTTTAAAAGGAATTTTCAGAATTTGGAGGTATGGTCAGATGTTCAATCAAACGACTACCTAATCTCTAAAAAGCAAAAAAAAATTAGGGATCAGAAATTAAACATCCTTACATTGATAGATAGAAGTGTCTATATATACATAAATGCTTCAATAAATTAAAACAAGATAGAGTATACAACCAAATAGAATCTGACAAAAACACATGAGCCCTTTGGGCTACACAAAGACCAGCTTTATTGCAAATTAATCCTATAAAAATGTACAAAAGATGCATCTTCAAAAGAAAGTGATCCAGAATTCCATCACGCAAAGGATGTAACTTCAAATCTAGAAGTTCTCAATGTTCCCTAAGTCTGTGTTTGGTTTAATAGAAAATAATACAGAAATAGTAAGTTGAGGGACAAGGTTCTTTTAAGAAAATTTGTGAAAGTTCTTAATAACTTTTCTTCAACTTTCGACTTTAAGACTTAGTTTGGAAGGAGTATAAATACAAATATATAGAGTATAAAATATTATATTTTGTATTGTTTTGGATATTTGTATTGTACATATTTGTATTTATACTTTTTCCAAATTGAGCCTCAGGACTTTGGTTTACATTTCTTTGCCTAATAAGCTGCACAAATTTATAGATCTTATGACTATTTTTTTTTTTATCAATAACACTTTCATTAATTCATCAAGAAAATTTACAAGTGGAAGACAAACACACTTATCTTCCAAGAGTCACAAAGAACTTCAAGAAAGGAAA